CTCTCTCTCTCTCTCACACACACACACACACACACACACACACACACACACACACACACACGGCAGGGGGCAGGACGCAGCCCCAGGAGAGATAATGCCAAGCCCCAGCCAGTCCCTACTCCTCCCCCCCCCGTGTCCCCTCCAGCCCTCACCCTTCCCCCTGGCCCTGGGGCTCAGGTGCAGCTGGGGAGGGAGGAGGCAGAACTGTGATCCAAGAATCTGCTGGGCACAGGCCAAGCATGCCCCTGCCCTGGATGGGTCACTGCCCCTCTTGATGCCCAGGGATCTGATCAGGGACCCTGGGCAGGGACTAGCTTGGGGTTGTGGTTATGGGGTATCCAGGGCACCCAGGTTAAACCTGTAATGGGGTGGATTCACTGGGGCACCTGGGTAAGGACTCCTGGATTTGAACCTGGCTCTGGGAAGTGTGTGGATCTCATGGATTAGAGCTCAGGGAGGCTGAAAGTCAGGACTCCTGGGTTCCTTTTCCATTCTTGGGGAAACACTGGGTTGAGGATCACAGAGGCAGGTGCACCAAGCACTGGGGCTGTGAGGTTCACATTGTCTCAGGACCCTGCCCTGTGCCCGCTTCCCCCCCAAACTCACTGTCCCACCCTGCATCTATGGTCCCCAGAGTGGGAGGGGCTGCTGCACCCCAACTGCCCGATAGGGCTCTATATAATGACACCCAAAGGGGAAGGAGACAGAGATACTCAGCTCTGCCTGCAGCTGGATTCATTTCTGACGGGAGCCCCAGGACTTGGGTGAGCTGAGAACAGACCCAGCTAGGGGGGAAATGCAGAGGGAGGGGCACTGCAGATTGACCCCAGGGGGCTGGGAGCAGAATCTGGCCCTGATCACATTGCACTTAGGTGGTGACTCCGCATTGGCCCTGGGGACTGAGACCAGAAACTTGACAAGAGAGTGAGAGGAACACAGGGGGACATCTGGAGTCAGGACTCCTGAGTTCTCACCCCAGCTCTGGGAGGGGAGTGGTGTCTAGTGGTCAGAGGAGGGGGGCTGGACACATTACAGACAAAGCAGTAACGCTGACAGTTCGATTCCTGGCCGGCTGCTCTGCTCGTCATGTGTCTCCACTGGGTCTAGGAGCCCTGGGGTTCATTCCCTGTTTCTTAGGATGCGGATTTCCAAGCTCCCCACCAGATGCAGGCCAAACCCTGGGGTTTGTCCATGGGCACACTGGGCACCCCAGAGGGAGCTGAAGACCCCCAATGTTGACTTCGCTCTGCTCAGTTTCCCCACCTGTAATGGGGGGAGAAGAACCCTTTCCTTCCCTGCTCACTGAGCAGCGTGAGCTCTGCCTGCATTTCACTCTGTTTCTGGGACACTCCAAGCAGAAAGGGGCCCTGATCTCGGTCGGGGTCTGTGCAGCGCCCAGCACAACGGGGGCTCTGATCTCGGACGGGGTCTGTGCAGTGCCTGGCACAATGGGGGCCCTGATCTCGGTCGGGGTCTGTGCAGCGCCCAGCACAACGGGGGCTCTGATCTCGGACGGGGTCTGTGCAGTGCCTGGCACAATGGGGGCCCTGATCTCGGTCGGGGTCTGTGCAGCGCCCGGCACAACGGGGGCCCTGATCTCGGTCGGGGTCTGTGCAGCACCGGCACAATGGGGGCCCTGACCTCCTCCGAGTCGGGGTCTGGGCCAGCGCCTGGCGACAATGGGGCCCTGATCTCGGTCGGGGTCTGTGCAGCGCCCGGCACAACGGGGGCCCTGATCTCGGTCGGGGTCTGTGCAGCGCCCGGCACAACGGGGGCCCTGATCTCGGTCGGAGTCTGTGCAGCGCCCGGCACAACGGGGGCCCTGATCTCGGTCGGAGTCTGTGCAGCGCCCGGCACAACGGGGGCCCTGATCTCGGTTGGGGTCTCTGCAGCACCCGGCACAATGGGGTCCTGATCTTGGTCAGGTTATTCAGGCTTTAGAGGTAGAATCATTTGGCAAGGGAGGGTTTGGGGTTCCATGGAGAAGGCAAATCCCCATCCTGCGCTGTCTCCATCTATCTCCCTCCCCACACCCCACCTCAGGTCGATCCAGTGACAGACGCGGCCATGGCCCCGACAGGATCCTGCCCCTTGCTCTTCCTGCCCCTCATCCTGCTGGCCGCCTACCTGGCCCAGAACATCGTACTACCCGACAGCTACAAGCGGTTTGTGAGCGAACACGTTGATTTCCCCAAGACCAGACCCCCAGTGGCCAGAGCTACTGCAACGTCATGATGCGGCACCTCAGCCTGACCCACCCTGGCTGCAGACCCAGCAACACCTTCATCCATGCCCCCACCAGACAGGTCCGAGCCATTTGCAGCGGCACAGGGAGCTGCGTGTACCTCGCATACAACCAATGCGACAGCAACACAGGCTTCCGCCTCACCACATGCCAGCTGGTGTTCAGCCCCCACCGCCCACCGCGCTGTATCTACAGGGAAATACCCCAGACCCACAGGATCAGCATGGCCTGTAACCAGCAGGAGCAGCCCGTGCACGTCATCAGAATCCTGTAGATCCCAGGCGCTAGAAATGGGCTGGGAGCAGGGGTGCCCCTGCTCCCCCTTTCACTGCTGGTAGCCCCCGTCACTGGGAGCTCTCCTATCCCGTCCCTGCCCCTCCTGCGCTACACCCGCCATAAGTCTCCACAGGGACATGCAGCGTCTCCCCTTATCCCGCAGGCCGGCAGCCTGTGGGGGGATTTACCACACTGGGCGTCCAGTTCCCATCCACACGAGTGAAAATCCAGGTACCCAGCCCCTCGGCTGGCACTGAGCGCCTCAGCCTGAGCCTAGCACCCGCCTTGCTGGGTGCCCATCGTTCAGTACAGCCAGACCCCTTCCCCCATTGGGTATCGGGGGCAGGTTGTGGGGAGAAGATTGTCCCAGGCGGGGCCTTGGAAGCTGTCACTGAGTTTTCTTTCCTTGCTGCTTCTTGCAATAAAACACTTTCCTGCCAATGCAGAATGAGTCAGTTTGGGGGGCTGGGGCATTTTCAGGCTCTCAGTGGGGCCTATTTGCTCTGCTAAGCCTGATGCTGAGTTGTGGGGTGTGAAGTGAAGGAAAAGCTCCAGGAAGAAACAAAACCCACACAGGGAGGGGTGTCCTGTTCTGGGTATGGACAATGGGGTCAGGAGATGAGACGGGGGGACTGAGACAGACCCTAATCCTTCCCCGAGGAGACAAACCTCAGCTTGGCCTGTCTCTGAAAGGAGGCTCCCAGCCAGCCTGGCTGGACATCGCTGCAAAGGCTGTGGATGGGAAACTTCCTTAGCCAGGAACGTGTCCTCTTAGCTCACTCTCAGCTCTACCAGGTGGGCTCTGCACCAGTGGGCATCCTGCCCTGACATTTCCCATCACCTCGCTCAGCTCTTATGCGCCTTGGGTGGAAAATTTTCCCTCCTAAAGTCAGACACCCCCCAGCCCTGTCCCTTCACTGACTTCCCCATGGGCCTCGGGGTTGTGAAACTTCTCCTGTGTGTGCAGGGTTCTCCCCACCCCCCCCCCGCGTCCCAGGGACAGCAGCCTGCCACAGACCACAGGGAGGGATCCAGCAATGGCCCAACAACCAACTGACAGCCAGGGAGCTAGTGGGGCTGGGCAGCGCGGGACAGGCCTTCGGACCTCGCTCCCTGCCCAGGATGGGCTGGGGCCAGTCCAGGCTGACGGGGTCGTGGGCAGCCCCTGTAGAACCAGATCTGGGCCTTCCCTGGGACTGTGGGGGTGTCAAAGCCCCGAGCCCATGAGCACAGAGGACACTGCAGGGGGAATGGGACAGGAGCTGGTGCAGATAGGGCCTGGCAGGGCCCCATAGTCAGTGTCAGTAGAGAGGGGTGGCTGGGAACTGGCCCCTAGAGCCAGCCCCTCCCCAGTCGTTATCTGCGGGGTCCGGGCTGGGAAAAGACAGAGAAGAAATCCACAATCAGACTAGACAGTGTATCCAGCCACCCCAGCCTGCCCCGGATGCCCCTGGGCCAAGCCAGCCTGGCCTGCTCCGTATCCCCTTGGGCCAAGCCAGCCCGGCCTGTCCTAGATCCCCCTCAGCCCAGCCAGCCTGGCCTACCCCAGATCGCCCTGCGCCCAGCCAGCCCAGCCTGTCCCAGATCCCCCTGGGCCAAGCCTGGCCTCCCCTACTATAACAGGACACATCAGGGGATCAGATGGCGACAAGATCGCTGGTGAGAAAGGCCGAGATCAGCCAGACACAGGGACAAATGCACCCCAGGTACAGAGTGACATAAACACGCTGACAAAACACCCATACACACACGCGCACACACACGTGCACTTTTCACACACACAAACACACAATTTATTTCAGTTCAGTGATACTGCACAGGCTTGGCAGTCAGGCAGAGAATACCCTGGCCTGGAGGAGAGCCAGCCCTGGGTGAGGCGTCACAGGCAGCCAGGGACCATCCAGGATGCGGCTACTCACTGTGCTGGGGGGGTTGTGTCTGGTCAGCTCTGTAACACTCCCCTGGCACCACAAACTCTCCAGCGGTTGTGTTACACACCCAGAGACACTCTCAGGCACAGACACACACACTGCTCACATACACACTGCTCACGCACACACTCCTGCACACTGTTCACTCACACACACACAAACACACACTCTGCAGAGGGCAGGACACAGACCCAGGAGACAGGACACCAAGCCCCAGCCAGGTCCCGTCCCACCCATGTCCCCTCCAGCCCTTGCCCTTCCCCCTGGCCCTGGGGTTCAGATGCAGCTAGGGGGTGGGGGGAGGACTGTTATCCAAGAATCTGCTGGGCACAGGCCAGGCCTGCCTCTCCCCTGGATGGGTTGCTGCCCCTCTTGATGACCTGATCAGGAAACCTGGGGAGGGACTGGGTGGGGGTTGTGGTTATGGGTACCAAGGGCACCCAGGTTATTCCTGTTACAGGGTAGATTCACTGGGGCACCTGGGTAAGGACACCTGGGTTCAAACCAGGCTCTGGGAGGGGAGTGGGGTCTCATGGGTTAGAGCTCAGGCAGGCTGGAAGCCAGAACTCCAGGGTTCCATTTCCATTATTGGGGAAACATTGGGTTGAGGATACCAGGGGCAGGTGCACCAGGTACAGGGGATGTGGGGTTCTCAGTGTCTCAGGACCCTGCCCTGTGCCTGCTTCCCCCCTAACTCCCTGCCACACCCAGCACTTCTGGGCCCCTCAGTGGGAGGAGCTGCCCCCTCCTCCCGAACTGCCTGGTCAGGCTTTATATAAGGGGCCTGGAGGAGGGAAGGAGAATTAGAAACTTTCAGCTCAGCTGGCAACTGGATCCATCTCTGACGGGAGCCCCAGGACTCAGGTGAGCTGAGAACAGACCCCAGCCAGGCAAGAAATGCAGGGGGAGTGTCACTGCGGATTGACCCAAGGGGAGCTGGGAGCAGAATCCAGCCCTAATCCCATTGCACTCAGGGGGTGACTCTGCATTGACCCTGGGGACTGAGATCAGAAATTTGGCAAGAGAGTGAGAGGAACATGGGGGGCATGTGGAGTCAGGACTCCTGGGTTCTTGCCCCAGCTCTGGGAGGCGAGTGGCATCTAGTGGTCAGAGGAAGGGTGGCTGGGACTGGGAATCAGGACAATGGACACATTACAGACAAAGCAGTAACACTGAGTTCAGTTCCTGGTCAGCTGCTCTGCTCGTCGTGTGTCTCCACTGGGTCTAGGAGCCCTGGGTTCATTCCCTGTTCCTTAGGTTGTGGATTTCCAAGGGCCCCCCGGAGTCTACAGGCCAAACCCTGGGGTGTATCCATGGGAGTTGGGCGCCCCAGAGAGAGCTGAAGACTCCAACGTTAACTTTTCTCTGCTCAGTTTCCACAACTGTAACTGGCGAAGAAGAACCCTTTCCTTCCCTGCTTCCAGTGCAGCATGAGCTCTGCCTGCATTTCCTTCTCTGTCTGTGACACTGCAAGCAGAAAGGGGCCCTGATCTCGGTCAGGATCTGGGCAGAGCCTGGCACAATGGGGCCCTGATCTCGGTCGGGGTCTGTGCAGGGCCTGCCAGAGTGTGGCCCTGATCTCAGTTGGTGTCTGAAGTGCCTGGCACGTAAGAATATAAGAACAGCCATACTGGGTCAGACCAAAGGTCCATCTAGTCCAGTATCCAGTCATCTGACAGTGTCCAATGCCAGGTGCCCCAGAGGGAATGAACAGAGCAGGTAATCATCAAGTGATCCATCCCCTGTCACCCATTCCCAGCTTCTGGCAAACAGAGGCTAGGGACACCACCCTGCCCATCCTAGCTAATAGCCACTGATGGACTTATCCTCCATGAATTTTAGTTCTTTTCTGAACCCTGTTATAGTCTTGGACTTCACAACATCCCCTGGCAAGGAGTTCCACAGGTTGACTGTACGTTGTGTGAAAAAATACTTCCTTTTGTTTGTGACTTATTACTGTTTAATTTATCAATTTGTTCCAAAACCTTCTCTAATGACACCTCAATCTGGGATAGTTCCTCAGATTTGTCACCTAAAAAGAATGGCTTGCATCCTTAACCGTGAAGACCGATGCAAAGAATTCATTTAGTTTCTCCACAATAGCCTTATCCCCCTTGAGTGCTCCTTTATCATCTTGATCGTCCAGTGGCCCCACTGGTTGTTTAGCAGGCTTCCTGCTTCTGATGTACTTAAAAAAATGTTGCTATTACTTTTTGAGTCTTTGGCTAACTGTACTTCAAATTCTTTTTTGGCCTTCCTAATTATATTTTTACACTTCATTTGCCAGAGTTTAT